CTTTAGTACCATCATGGCTCCTATCACCGAATGCATGAAGAAGGTTCTTTTGAATGGACAAAGGCTGCTCATAATGCTTTTGAGTTAATCAAATAGAAACTTTGTGAGTCCTCTATTCTTGCCCCTCTCGGTTTTGATAAAGTATTTGAAATTGAGTATAATGGAAGCGGAGTTGGCATTAGGGCTGTTCTTGTCCAAACACAAAAACCTTTGGCGTATTTCAGTGAGAAGTTGACGGATTCAAAGAAGAATTATTCAACTTATGATAAGGAGTTCTATGCCATTGTTAGAGCTCTTGATCACTAGAGTCATAACTTGAGGCTAAGAAGTTTGTTCATCATTCTAATCATGAGGCTCTCAAGTTTATTAGCGGCCAACGTAAACTCAATTCAAGACATGCCAAATGGGTAGAATTTCTTCAATCCTTTTATTTTGTCTCAAAGTATAAATCGGGCTACATAAGTTATAGCGGATGCTTTATCGAGGAGATATTCTATGCTTGTTGTTTTAGATTCTAGAAACCTTAGTTTCCAATTGATGAAGGATATATATTACGAAGACTCGGAATTCTCTTCCATCATCGATGACTGTAAACACGGAGTTCAGGGTACTTATTCTATCCAAGATGGTTTTCTTTTCAAAGCAAATCGATTATGTGTGCCAAAGAGTCCGTTTAGAGAATTATTGATCCATGAAGCACGTGGTGGAGGATTGACTGGTCACTTTGGCATTAACAAAACTCTTGAGGTTCTTCAAAAGCATTTTTATTGGCCAAAGATGAATGGAGATGTGCATGCTATCATTTCGAGATGTGCAACTTGTCAGAGTGCCAAAAGTCATTTCCTTCAGGGGTTGTACACTCCACTTCCAGTTCCATTGCAACCATGGGAAGATGTGAGTATGGTCTTTATTGTCACTCTTCCGAGAACTCAAAGGAGAAAAGATGTCATTCTGGTGGTCGTTGATCGGTTTTCTAAAATGGCTCATTTCGTTCCATGTCACAAGACCGATGACGCATCTCATGTGGCTAAACTATATTTCAAAGAGATCATTCGCCTTCATGGAGTACGGAAGATCATCATGTTGTATCACGATTCTAAGTTTTTGACCTATTTTTGGAAGACACTATGGAGAATGCTTGGTACGTGGCTCTTATTCAATGCCACTTGTCATTCTCAAACAGACGGACAAACGAAGGTAGCCAATTGCACCCTCACTACTTTCCTTCGAGGGATGGTTAGTAAATCTTTGAAAGATTGGGATTTGAAACTTGCACATGTTGAGTTTGCTTATAATCGAACACCGAGTTACACCACTAGTCGATCACCTTTTGAAGTTGTGTATGGAACTAATCCTCTCACACCGATCGATTTGATTCTAATTCCATCCATCTCTTAAGTGAACTTTGATGGTAAAGAAAGAGCTGAATCGACGAAAAAGCTCTATGAGCAAATTCGATCCAAGATTGAGAAGGCTAACGAGTCTTACAAGAAGAAAGCTAATCAGCACTGGAAGAAGGCTCATTTTGAACCAGGCGATCTTGTGTGGTTACATTTGAGGAAAGAAAATTTTCCATCTCGTTGAAAGAACAAGTTCATGCCTAGAGCCGATGGCCTATTTAAAGTTCTAGAAAGAATCGGTGACAGCACATGCGAGATCGATCTTCCTGGAGAGTTTGGCGTTTCTGCAACTTTCAATGTGGGAGATATTTCTCCTTATTTGGAAGATGAAAACTTATTCGATTTGAGAACAAATATCAACCAACCCGGGGAAAATGATGCGGGAGCATCCGACTCAACTCCATCAACAAAATCAGCACCATCGATGTTAATTTAAATTAAGGTAGAATTTGGCTATAACTTGCTTCGTTGGATCATCGACAAGGAGACTATCAACCAGGTTACCAATCATTAAGTTGTTGATTCTTCCCTTGACGTTTAGAGTTATCGTTTCACAAAGAATAGTTGCTGATTTCAATGCGAATCGACAACATATCGATGGGAGGTTGTTCCAAGCACTTTCCTATGACATTTGCTAATTTATTAAGGTGGTTATCTACTGGGCAAAGATGGTGGACGAATTTTGGAGATAAACTGCAAGGCTCAAAATTTCAAGTCTTCATGTGTCATCAATGCATTTCCAAGTTCATAGGTCTTAATTGTTATGTGAGTCTCGAGAGTCAAAGTCCTTAGTTCCTAGGTATTTAAATGCTTTCTAAATCCTTAAATGGTTGGGTAGTTCCCATGTCTCTTTGATTTTTGTCTATTTCCTAAGTCTTAGTTCCCCTATAAATAGTGGAGAGTCCTCCATTGTCATGGACAAGACTTTGATGAATGAAAATTCATGAGATTTTCCTCTGTGTGAGCGATTATCTTTGGAGAGTGGATAATTCATATATCGGTTTCTTTATACATGGAGAGTGGATTACTCCTCGGCGGTGAGCCAATAAGCACTTTATTCTCGACTGGTGGTTTCCCTTTAGGCCCGAGTGGTGAGCTTCTCATATCCTAAAGTCCCTTGACCTTGACGGGTGGCTTGTCCTTTATGCCTCGGTGGTGAATTTCATTGATCCCGATCTTCATTCTTGGTTGGTGGCATGTCTTTTATACCTTGTTGACGATTGTAATCTATTCTACATTTCCATTTTACCCTTCGACATACATTCCATAAATACACACCCATCCATACAAGTAAATCATTAACCCATATCGGGAATCACTTGCCCACGCACGTAACGGTGTCCTCAAAGACTTCTATTTGTGCTGGAAATTGGTGATCCATTTTTTAAGAAGGCTCTAGTCCAAACTATAGAAGCCTTAAATTACGCGGAAATGCCAGCTGTAAAAGTCGGCTGAAGAAAATCATGAACGTGAGCAACAAGTTGTCAAAATAAAATATTATGAGATTGTCTAGGGTTGTTGAGAATTGTGGTGGCTGCAAGTTGAAGGCTACGTGGACAGCATTCAAAAGGAATCCAGATTGAGAAGTTGTCAAAGAGATGAGCTGTAAAGAGAAGTCCAGAATCCTCTAAGGCGGTTCAACTTAGTCGGTGGAAATGCCTATAAAAAGGCCATAACTCATTTCTGTAAAAAGGTGTGGGGAGTGAGCTCGTAACTCCACGTCCTTAGCTCCTCCACCAATACTCCTCCATCAACTATATTTGTAAAACTATTTTGTTCAACTAATGAAACTATATTTTCCTTCATCTCATGACCTATATCCTTTAAATAATCTACCTTGTTCCCTTGCCATTCTCTATTTGGAATTTTCTCATCTTGTAAGGTCCTGTGCCATATAGTAATCTGTATCAACATGTTCGTAAGTAGGGTTTGTGGTCAGTCGATTTGCATGTTCGTAAGTAGGGTTTGTGGTCAGTCGATTTGGTGTCCATCTCTTAACTAACCTGAGACCTGACCAACATCTTTCCTCCACACTTCATTTTCTTCATACTTGCGACGTCGGCATTCTAGGACTAATTCTGTGTGATGCTGAAGCATTTGTAGGTCACGCCGGAGACACCCGGAAAGTTATAAAGGAGCAGATGACTGGACAGCACTCACTTGTTGTAATAATGGTACATATTCTTTCTGCAATTTTCCCCCAGTTGGGGATCCTTTCTGTGATCTTTTTACAGAGGCGCACAGAACGTGGGTTAGTAACACTAAAGAATTGTAAGTTGGAAAATGGAGGTAGCTAAACTCATTATTCCAAATTAAACTTTTGAACGATCTGAAGTGAGTAACTTTATATGTTCACAACTGTAGTTTTATTGATAGGTCTTGAATAAGCTGATTAATGTGTTCGAATTATATCTAACTGGCTGGAATGCTCACTGTTCAAGGTTTTTAATAGCGGCTGACACTCTGAATCTCTGATTAAGCCTTAATTGATGGAGTCTCTGAAGACTTCTTCAAGAGATTTCATTAGATCAAAATCACCAGAAATGCATACCCATATTCTAAAATCAAATTGTTCTTGGACCTTTTCGTCTTGTACATGAACTTAGCAAGAACGGTTTTGCCTAAACACCCCATCCCAATTAAGGGAGGACATGCGATCCAAGCTGGTTCAGCACACTCTTTGCAATGTGCAAAAGGATCGATTCGGCCATTTTCTTTCTTGCCATTGGAAAAACAGTAGGGGCTATCAAGAGAGCTTCATGAACCATAGACGATGAATGCAAACGTCGTCTCGTCTTTGGTAGGTGAACATAATGGCAATACTAGAAATACTTCCAATTAAATGGATATGCTTTATAAGCATTGGACTGAACATTAAGGTTTTAATATGGTGCGAGTCAACTATTTGTTATAAGACATATGCATTAACAAATATCTTTTTTGTTTTCTCACTTTCAGGCTTAAAACTCATTTTAGTGCCGAATAATAGCGATTTGGCCAAATCTACTGACCGAGCCCCCAAATTTTTTTGTGCGCTCTGTTGTAGTCATGAAATCGATCGAGGAGGTCCTGAACTTACTGGGAACTATGGCCTACGCAATCATGAGTTCAAACAAGATTACTTGGGAGACTAAAACTGACAAAGGCTTTGAAGCCGTAACAAAACCTTTATTGTTCATGCAATTAGCCCTTGTGCATTCCAATTGGTGAGATCCAGTCTTAGAAGCAGGAGGAAAAGAAAAACATAATCTTCCTACGTAAAAGTGAAGTAAAACAAATAAAAAACGAAAAAATAAATGCATTATTTATAGGGGACTCTTTAAATTGTCTGGTGAAATAATTATAAAAAGATCCAGTAACTTACATTAACTTACCCAAAAAAAAAAAAATTCAATGGTGCAACGTGATTTTCATTCACTGTCTCGTGAATAATTGATAAATATCGTTCTAAGAAAATTCAAACAATGATAACACAACAATTAGTCTCATACAATACAAATAAGGCATTTTCTCCATAGAGAAATTTGCAATAGAAACACAAACAAATAATAAAGAACAACACTCATTCAAGGAAATAAATAAAAAAGTACAACATCACCGGCCATTGCTTTCATACCTAAATATGAAAGAGATTCACGAAGGATTAACTGGGTGCACATCAAATCTTCGAAGAGATCCACATAGCGTGCCACATAGATCATAGGAATTCATCTGTGGTCAAAAGGAAATCATGAAATGAGCTTAGAGTATCTATAATATAGTATTATGGCATTCATTGTGGTGTCATGCGAATTGGTCATTCTTAGATATTCTACTAACCAAAATACTTTTAATTGGTTAGCAAAATTAATTTTATGCGGATGTAAGGTTCCTTTCAATAAAAACCAATTTAGAAGTTTTTGTTTTGTAAAAAAAAATGTGGAAATTTGGGTTCTTATAAGCGTTTCTTAAATTTTAAAAATACTTATAATAGTATCGTAAGTCCAAAAGGACATGTATGCAAAATAACATGTGGAAACCGTAGTTTTCATATGTGGTGTACACACTGTGGGTAAATGCTTTCATGTTTGATGGTTCACATTATTTTGAAACAGTGTGCTAATGATACTCGAGTATCGGTTACACCAAAATGGAGAGTCTATATATAGCCTCTATTCTAAATTTTATGACACACACACTTTGACTTCTTGTTAATCCAAAGTATCCAAAAATTTCACATCTAAATGTTGGCAAGCATTTTCACATATATTTTGTTCATAACATTTTGCAATTTTAATAATATTTTGAGTTTTAGTCACAAAGTACAAAAATACTGTTTACTTTTGCCTAGTCAGAAAAAAACAGGCCTTAAATCTTTTGAGTTGGGGACCTATATATTTCTATTGTAAGTCACTGGCTGGCAAAACCGGGCCTCACTCGGGCCATTTTTCACGACAAATTTCAAATATTCAATCTAGGGAGAAAAGGAAATCCTATGTTATAGAAATATTCTTAGCCACTTAAATTTCCTCTTTTTTCATTAGATGTTATATTTTAAAAAAAATAACATGTGCCGACAAATTGATACATAAAAAAGTTCCAAAAGAGGCTCTGCATTATAGGGATTTTAACTTTATGCTTTCTGTTATTTAAACTACTATAGAAATAAAATGAAAGCAGTCTAGTTGCTCTCAATAACCCGTGATCTTAGACATCTCTCTCGTGCATATGACAATATTATATGTTATTTTTCTTTAAAAAATTTCCTGCGAAGAAATTATTATCCTAAAACTGTATTGGGCTTTGCAGTTTGGAAACAATTTTTACGGTCATGGCTTCATTCACACGCATTGTTTGTGCCACAATGCTTGTATATTTTAAGAGAATGTTATTGGTACTTTTTCACTTTCACATGTTTTATTGTGAGAGTTATGAATTATAATTGATTGTGGGAAGTAAAAAGCTCTTAATGAAATAAAAACAATTATATTGCAAAACATAATTAAAATTAGTTCTAAAAAATGGAATCACATCACCTTAAAGAATGGTGAGCATAGATATATGCAGGTATTTTGATATAACAAATCAATTGAGGACATTTCAGTATTTTTATAAGAACGATAAAATTATTTTTCTCAAGTGGGAAAGTTACAGACCAAAAAACAAAAAAAGTGGTAAAGTTAAATTAAAATTGAATCAATTTCTCTATGCATTAACTTTCATGCATATCAATTGAGGACATTTCAGTATTTTTATAAGAACGATAAAATTATTTTTCTCAAGTGGGAAAGTTACAGACCAAAAAACAAAAAAAGTGGGAAAGTTAAATTAAAATTGAATCAATTTCTCTATGCATTAACTTTCATGCATATCAAGTTAAAATAAATACTTTTTCATGGGATGATTGCTCTTTATTGATGTTTTCTTTTGGCCGATGGGATGATTGGGGGCAGCTTGCATTGGCTCGATTCGACACTCCAGCAATTGCTGTTAAGCCAAGTGTCTTGCCAACAAAGATTATCCCAAAGCCTTCAAATTACGTCATTAGCACTAGCAATCATTCTCTTGCTATGCACGGAACCGGACCTGTGGTATGGAAACATTTTCTTTTGTTTTATTATTTGTGCTAATAGTTTTAGATAGTATTACAAACTGAGTGTGTAGTTTAAGTGTAACTCTAATGTTAGATGCAACTTCTAACTTTTTAATCAAATTTAAATTGTATTTCGATAAAAAAAAATCAAAATTTTAATTGGATTATTTACTTTAATAAAGTTTCTTGCGTAATTTTGTCTTTTTACATTTCAATATTTTGATTAAATAGTAATATTATACAATTATTACTTATTTTTCTTTGAGTTCAAATAGTAATATTCCTTTTGCAGTCTAATGACCTATTATTGATTGTATCTTAGTAAGTATTATTTTTTCATATCATTTTCCTTTTTCTAATTGCCATACTTCAATTAAATTGACTCAATTGAAGATTAAGTGGATCACAATATATGGCTATATCACAATTAAGAACGAAGAAAAATAGATGGATGCGTACCTAGTCCTCTGATCCTCCGTCTATAGTACATGTATGAAATCAGGTTGGATTCGTGCAACATGAGCGATTTGTGCCAATTCTCGCCGGTTTGAGCCTCGCATCTTATGCTCAGTTCACCACACTTTACAATGCGCAATTCTTTGAGGGCAGTGAGTGAACGAATTCTTTGCGGCATAGACAATAAGTTGCGACATCGGATCAAGCGAATTAATCCGAGACGTGTATGATTGGGCAGCCATTCGGGTACAGCAGTCAAGCTCGGGCAATCATAGACACAAAAGGACTCCAAAGTGCAAGCCGATCCTTCAAGACATTGGAGCAACTCCATCACTTGGTCGCACTCTGATATTACTAGAGTACGAAGATTCAACGAAAAGTAAGACCTATTCTCCTGGGCTAACGTGAGCTGGCAGCGATCGATCACCAAGGACTCTAGGGTGATTAATTCCCCAAAAGGCACAGAGATTGGTCTCCCACAATTTCTAATTTCAAATTTTCGAAGGTGAGTCAGTCGGCAGGTGCCTTCAAACAGAATTTGAACATTTTCGCATCCAACAATTCCCAAACTTTGCAGATTTTCCAGGTATTGTATTCCAGTTTCTTGTAAACTCTTTTGCTTTGTTGTTATGTATAGATATCGAAGGCTAATGAGCCTTTTCATTTTTTTGGGTAAATCGCCTAGTTCCGAGCATTCCTCGAGGGATAAGTGTAACAAACTTTGCAGCTCACAAATTGTATCCGGAAGCTTCTTCAATCGCTTGCAAGCAGCAAGATTTAACGATCTTAATTGCTTCAAGTTGCATATGGAACTTGGCAGCTCCTCAAAATTACCATATGCCAATTCTAGAAACCGTAAGTGCTTACACTTGGAGATGCATGTTTCAACAAACTCTCTAGTTATGACTCCATCATAAACTCGGAACATTAATTTAAATGCACGTAGCCTCTTTGAAGTTGGCTTTCTCAGAAAAGGTGGGACTCCATCATAATTTGAGATTTCCTCTAATGATGTGTTAGGAATCGAAACGCACCGAACTGTCTCTGATATATCTGTAGCGTCTAAGCCAACTGCAGAGCAATCATTTTCTGCCACAATAGTTGCAAGAGAATGGACCAGATCATGTAGTTTTAACTGAAACATTGATTCGGACTCCTCGACTACTTGGACCAAAGATCTCTTCTGCAACTCTTTGACGTACAGAGCACCGACATCTTCCGATGCAAGTTTTTCCCCTATTGAACTAATAAGTCCTAAACCCATCCATAAACTAGTTAAATGATCATCGTCAATTGCATATCCTCTGGGAAAAAGTGAAAATGTGGCAAAACAACGTTTTAAGTGGGATGGTAAATGATCATAGCTAAGCTTAAGTACCGGCAGAATGTCCTTTTTCGCATCCGCTAACGCCCATGTTTCACTATCCCTTATATGTGTCCAATGTCTATCATCATCGTTCAAAAACAGAAGGCATCCAAGAGTTTTCACAAGGAGCGGAACTCCTTGAGATTTGTTGACAATGTCTTTTCCAATCTCTAGGAGATCAGGACGTGGCTCCTTTTCCTTTTCATCAAATGCCCATTTTTTGAATAAGGCCATAGAGTCGTTACGAGAAAGACCTTTTAGATTATGTGCTGGATAGGTACCCATTATTAAAGCGATTTCTGAATCACGAGTAGTCACAATTATCTTACTTCCACTAGCCCCTCCGATTAACAAATCTCTCAAATCAGTCCATCTACTGCGGTTAGTGCTCCATACGTCATCCAAGATTAGGAGAAATTTCTTGTCCTTGATGATGGTTCGCAGTGAGGCTTGCAATTGCTGAAGATCAAGGTTAGGGCTTTGTCCAGTTGCATCTTTGATGATTCCTTCGATAGTTTTCTTTAAATCGAAGTCCTCAGGCACGCACACCCATAGTTGCAACTCAAATTGCTCTTTTACACCATCGTCATTGTAAACTAATTTAGCTAGTGTCGTCTTGCCCAAACCTCCTATTCCAACAATGGGAATCACTGAAAGGTTTTTGTCATCTGGCCGCACCAACATCTCAATTATCTGTCTTCTATCAATTTCTCTTCCGACGACATTGAACTGGTTTATGAAAGAGTGAGTTATCTCTCGTGATCGCGTATGTCCCACACCATTGTCAGCATTCCGCACATTAAGATTGAATTGATCTTTATCAGTGGAAATTACGGATAATCTCTGCCGAATCTCCTTGATTTTATGACAAATTTTCGCACGGAACATGAGTGGATTAGAGAGGGAAAAGAAGCGGCGTACCTTCCATTTTACGCCTCCATAACGACTTATCACCTTCTTCCGTAAGGCTTCACATTCGATTTCATCGAACAAATCCTCCACATCGTAAAATACATGTTGAAGCCGATCTAACCACTCTTGCAGACAATCGTTCGTCGCCTTCTGCACCTCAGCATCTGACAACACTGCCTTAATGCCAGTCAATGTCTCTCTAAGCTTGCAGATCTGATTTTCAACGTTGTAAATAGCGACGGCTTCTTGGAGCGCCGGTGATGCTATCTTCCCCAGCACGCTCTCTGCAATGCTGAAAAGGAGTGATTCAGCCATGCTGAGTGATGAGGAAATCGATTCTGGCTCTTTGCTTTGAGACGACAAAGAACACACAATGTCTTCCTCCCGTGAGTTAGCTGCTATGACGACAACTTCCTTATAAATGGATGAAAGGGAGGTTTTTACCTACCTTTCAATATACCTAAAAATAATTGTCCGATTAGAATAATTAGTCGACAAGATTTTTTTATAAACAATAATAATTTATGCCTAAATATTTTCTTTAACGATGAAAATATATTTTTGTCAATTTAATTTTGTAAGCGATATAAGCGAATCATTTTTAGTTAGAAAAATATTTTTCATAAGATAAATGCAACCTCAATGTATAGATTTTTTTACCCATTTTAGACGGTTCTCTCGGAATTTCAGTTTTAGAGATTATCCTGAATAATGAGGAGGTTATGAAACTCTTCCACAGCAATATCTCAAATATTGGAGAAATTATTCATCTGTCAGATATGTAATACATTGCCGCGAAGACAGTGCAAAAAATGAAGCCTTTGCTTGATCATGCTTGAGTTACTAAACGCTTTGTGATACGCTTCCCCGACCCTTGAATTAGTTAGTTGGAAAACAATAATGAATGAAAGGGTCCAAAAGAGTTTTAAGAAAAGGGAAGAACATATTTTTCATCAATATTCGTCCCTAATTATAACTACCGCAAGAGTTCACCTTGGAGCTTCTAGGTAATTGAGTTTTAGACAAAAATGTAGGAAATTCCAAATGAATCGATAATTTGACACTAACAAACTTCGTTTTTGTCCTTTTGTTTTTTATGCAGTTTTTTAGGGTGATTGATTAACGAAACTATTACAAATTGCATTATTAGCCATAAAAGACCAGGCACAAATTAAAGTGGCTTCAAGGTACCGACTAGGTAAAATCTAGGAAACTCTAGAAAATCGATCAATAATTAGGATGCGTTCGTTTCGCGAAAAATGAATGATTTGAAAAATATTTTTCAAAAAATGTTCTCTTACATCATTTAGAAAAAAAAATTAATGGACATTTTTTTCATCACCCACGAAAATAGTTAGGTATAGATTGTTATCGATGATAAAAATATTTTTCGTTGACTAATTTTTCTAAACTATGTTAGTAATTATTCTTCGAAAAATATTTTTTAAATTATTTATTTTTCACGAAACGGATGCACCTTTAGACCGTAACAAACTTCTTTTTTGTCCTTGTGTTTTTTATGCAGTTTTTCAGGGGGACTCTAAACGATTCCTTTTTATTATATCGAAAGAGAGATTAATCAGGTGACCAACGGATGATTTTCAGGAGGACCAGACCAAATCCGATGAATCTTTCGAGTAAGAGGAAGATGTTATATGGCAAAATAAGTTCCCGAGCAAATATAATTTCGTCGTTATTCTGTGATTGACTTGACAAGCAGCCGGTTTGCATGAACCTATTGCCAGCACGACATGATCCGACAATTAATTATCATGATTGAGATTTTATATTCTGTTCAAACACAGCTAATTAAGATGAAATTTGTCCGTTTTTGCGCTTTGATCACGAGAAACCTCAATTGTGTGAACACGATGTGATTTAGGTTCGCGTGTCGTGTTGGAAACGCCAGCTAATTCTGTCATTTTGACAGCAGCTGCACATGGCGCATTCCCCCATGGCAGCAGGCTGGACTCTACTCTAGTTTAACTATTAAGCAGCGCGTAACAAATAACGACATATGTGAAGTACAACATGTATCTAAGATGGTTTAGCAATTGTGGCTTCAGAAATACATATGATGGGTACCCGTTAGCGCAGTTTGGTCTGCAAACAATATATATGATGTGTTGTTGTTGTTTATATATTATATGGTAGAAGTTGCCCTTTTTAAGTTCTTAAAGGTCACTGGATAATTCATTTCAAAACAATGTCACGTTACAATGAAAGCAAGCTGGCATCATATTTTCGTCTTGGCCTATATTGTCAATGACGATGTTTATGGCTCCCTAATTGAGGGGGATTTCTCATAAAAATCAACTAGAAATTCAAAAATTACATTCATGATAAGAATTAGGCGAAAAACACACGGTAAAAACTCCCTTGATTAGCTTAGTATTGGATTATAATGAAATAAGAAAAAATGATGTGGAAAAAAATAATCTTTCTTTAAGTACTATCTCCATGACCCCACTCAAAATCAACTAGAAATTCGGAAATTGCATTCCACATTGGAATAAGACAAAAAATACACACTCAAAGAAAATGAATCGCGAATCCCTCAATGAACTTACTATTCCATTGAAATAGTGAACCATTGAGATAATAAAAAATGACATGGAAAATATTTTTAACTTTATAAGTAATATAAACGAATCATTTTTAATTAGGAAAATATTTTCTAACTTGTTGATTTTCGGCGAAATAAACGCACCCCCAATGCATAGATATTATTTACCCACTTTATGCGGTTCTCTCTCCATTTCGATTTCAGATATGATCCTGAATAATAAGGAGGCTATGCAACTCTTACACATGAATATCTCTAATGTTGGAGTAATTATTCATCGATCAAACACGTAATACATTGCCGCGAAGATGGTGCAAAAAATGAAGCTTCATCTTGATCGTGCTTGAAGTTACTCAACGCTATGTGATTTGCTTCCCGACGTTTGCACTAGTCAGTTGGAAAACAAAAGTGGATGAAAGGGACTAAAAGAGTTTTAAGAAAAGGGAACGACATAATTTTCATCAATATTCGTCTCTAATCTTAACTACCGCAAGAGTTCACCTAGGACCTTCTAGATAATTGAGTTTTAGAGAAAAATCTAGGAAACACTAGAAAATGGGTCAACACTTTCACACCAACATATATCGCAAATTTCTTCTTTTTTCTTTTGTTTTTGATGCGGCTTTTTAGGGTGATTGATGAGAAAATCCCGGACCGCCAAGTCAGTGTGATCCCCGACCACTCACGAGGCGCCACGTGATCCACGTGACGCGGGTGGGGCCGGCGGCGGGCCGGAACCCATTTTTTCCACAAAAAATTAATGTTCTTTTCCTTTAACCCTGCACCCTTCCTCTGCACGCTAAGGATCTACACTCCCTTCATCAGCAGTCTTTCTCTCTCTCTCTTTATTAATGTGGGCCATACACCCCCTCCTCATCAGCAGTCTCTCTCTTTATTAATGTGGCCCACCCTACACCCCTCTTTGTTGTCCACATTAATAGAGAGAGAGACTGCTGATGAAGGGAAGTGTAGGTCCTTAGCGTGTAAAGAAGGCACATTAATGAAGAGAGAGAAAAAGGAGAGACTACTGATGAAGGGAGGATGTAGGTCCTTAGCGTGCAGAGGAGGAGAAGGCCCTCCTCTGCACGCTAAGGACCTCCACCCCTTTCATCAGCAGTCTCTCTCTCTTTATTAATGTGGCCCACCCTACACCCCCCTTCATCAGCAGTCTCTTTCTCTTTATTCCTACATTAATAAAGAGAGAGAGAGAGACTGCTGATGAAGGGGAGTGTAGGTCCTTAGCGTGCAGAAGAGGGACACTAATGAAGAGAGAGGAGAGACTACTGATGAAGGGGGATTAGGTCCTTAGCGTGCAGAAGAGGAGAAGGCCCAACATTAATGAAGAGAGAGAGAGAGGGGAGAGACTGTTAATCAAGGGGGTGTAGGTCTTTAGCGTGCAGAGGAGGAGGAGCACATTAATGAAGAGAGAGGGGAGAGACTGTTGATGAAGGGGGTGTAGGTCCTTAACGTGCAAAACTAAAGGGAAAGAAAATTAATTTTTTGTGGAAAAAACGGATCTCGGCCCGCCTGCCCCCACCTTAGCCACGTGGCGTCTCGTGAGTGATCGAAGATCATACTGACTTGACGATCCAAGACTCCCTAATATTTTCTCGTGATTGGTTGATGAAACTGTTTCAAGGCACGTCATCATCGGCCATAAAAGAGAAGTCATAAATTAAAGTGGCTTCGAGGTTACGATTGGGTGGTCATTTCAGCCTTTTCCATGGCTTTTTGAGTTCAATTCAGGCCCACAACATAACGCGTGTTGACACGAGACACATCCCACTTTTGTACGTGATGCTTCTCCGAAAGGATCGAGCGTTAAAAGATGCGAAAAGAGATTTTGGTGGATCTGCTTTAGCGATTTCCCTTGGAGCATCTATATAATTGAGTTTTAGAAAATAAAAAATAAAAAACTCTAGGAAATGAATCAATAATTTGACACAAAAAGTGGCTTCGTCTTTTATGGCTGATAATGCGGTTTGTAATAGTTCCATCAATCAATCCCCCCTAAAAAAACCGCATCAAAATCCGATTTGTTGGTCATTTCTGCCTTTCCCGTGTCTTTATGTTCACTTCCAGGCCCACCACATATCACGTGCTCACACGAGACACGTCGCACTTTTGTACACGACACTTCTTCTCCGAAAAGAGAGAGCGTTAAAAGATGCAAAAAGATTTTTTGTGGATACTGCTTTCGCGAATCCCCACCGAATTAGATAGTGACCAGATAGTTGCCGACCGACCAGTATAAATATCACAAATGTTGCTCAATGTCCTAGGTCCAAGATGTCCAATTGACTTGGCTGTTTATCTTATCAAGCCCTCACAATTAGCACGTCTCGAGACATTTTCAAAAATTTTCTTTAAATGAAAATCATCGATAATTCATACCCATGTTCTATGCAGAGGTGTCAAGAAAGCTTCTCGAACCACACCTGAATGCCAATGTGGTCTCGTCTTTGGCGAGCTATCATCATGAGTATACTAAAAAACCGTTCTAATTGAAAGCATCATTCTGTTTTATGAGCAATGAACCCAACATTAAGGTTTCAATATGGTGTGAGTCCACCATTGATTTTTCTAGGACAAATGGGTTGATAGTTTATCTTTTTTGTTTTCCTACTTTTAAGCTAAAAATCGGCTTTAGCTTCGAATGATACCGCTGTGAAAAACCTTCTCTACATACATACATACATACAAGACTAGATATCAGATTAGATTCAATTGGATTAGGGCAATATCTGGTGTTTTTGATATAGTTAAGAGATCTAATTAATTTGGCTTGCTAATAGTAGGAGCCAAGTG